AAGGACAAGCCCTGAAAATCTCAGTGGTTTAACTCACAGGAGCTATTGCTCACACAGTGACAGTTTAGTGCAAGTGTTCAGTGAGAGGCTTTCCATGTGGTCATTCACAGATCCAGGCTCCATTCCGTTTTGCGGTTCTGCCATTTTTTAGGGCTTCAGAATCTTTTTATTTCACTGGTAGTTGGAAAACAGAGAAGGTAGAAAATGTGTAGGAAATTTCCATAGATCAGGTCTGGCACTGGAGTTGTTCCTGGTTCACAATCCATTGTCAGAAGTCTGTCCCATGGCTCTACCTAGAGGCAAGAGGAGCCATGCAGGGAATATGGCGTCTGGGTGAGGCACCCATTCTCTAGCAACAATTATGGACTGGAGCATGAATACTCAGCCTCTGCCACTATTTGGGTGAAATGGTAAAGCCAGTAAGGTCTGTCTTCTCATGCCTCCAGCTTCTTGTTTCTCTTCCCTTTGTCTCCATTTATGACCCTCCCCTCACTTCTTCCCTGGCCCTATTGGTACCCAGTCCTCTGCTCTTCATCAAAAACTGCTCTCAGAAAGGAAGCAATGGTTGCACCGAAGTCTAGTGACAGATGAGGCTCAACCCAAGGCTCTCTTCATTTTAACAGAAGAAAGCCTCTGAGAAGATATGAATTTCTGATGAGAGAATTCAAAGGCATGTGGAGTATTTTTGGGGAACAGGAAGCATGCAGTCCCTAAAATTAAACCACATGTTGGGTCTGGCTGTATCTTTCTACACAGCCCAAAACAACAGGACTCTTAAGTTAGGAGCAGATTTTTTACTGTCTGATATAATTTGGAAACTTTTCATAAAGAGAGGTTGTTATGGGCTGAATTGTGCTCTCCGGCTCTTATGTTGGAGCCTGAACTCCCAGTACCTCAGCACATGAGTGCATTTGGAAATAGAGCCTCTGGATGGATGATTAAGTTAAAATAAGGCCCATAGAGTGGCCCCAATCAAATATGACTGGTGTCTTTCTAAAAAGAGGAAATCTGGATGTACAGGGGAATATCAGTGGCACTTGTGCACAGAGACCATGTGAAGAGGCAGCAAGAAGGTGACCATTTGCAAGCCAAGGAGAGAGGCCTCAGAGGAAACCAAGCCTGCTGATACCTTGACCTTGGACTTCCAGCTTCCAGAACTGTGAGAAAATAAATTTTTGTTGTGTAAGCCATCCAATCTGTGGTATTCTGTTGTGGCACCCCTAGTGAACTAATACACAGGTTCTCCCATTTTTTATTTAGATCAATGCTTTAAAGTATGAAGGGGGTTATAAGAAGGGATGGGAGAATGGAGTCTTGACTGTAAAATAATCAGAGATTAGTGAAGGAGCTTACCAATATTGAGTAAGTGGGCACTAACATCTCCTTGAGAAGCCAAGGATGTAATATGTTAGATGTCCTCTCAAATGGTGAATATACATTGTCAACTTTGAGTTGGCCTCTCCAAAAGGTGGTCAAATAAATTTGTGCTTGTTTCCATTTATGTTTTGTGGACTGATTTTTCTTAATTTACATTTGAGAAATGGAAAATTTCTGTAAAATACTTTAACAATTGAAAATAAAAATTCTGATTAAATATTAGTTAAAATATTCTTGCCCTAAATGATACCCAACCCTTAGCTATCGATACAGAACTGGATGATTAAGTTTTCAGTTTTCATTTGGTGGCATTGTGGTCAGCACAGTCAATTTGGAGCATTGGACTACCTATTTTTAAATTTTTTTTTGCAAAAAATTGCTTCTGAAAGTCAGCAGTTTGGTGGCATTGTGGTCAGCACAGCCAATGTGGAGTCTTGGACTACCTATCTTTTTTTTTTCTTCCAAAAAATTGCTTCTGAAACTTAGTAATTGCCAACATGCTTTTTTACTACCCAAAGCTAAGTTCAGGACTCCAAAGTGCCTTAGGGCACATCAATACCTGGTGGGTAAAATGTTTTTCCCTTCTTGCAGACACATCAGTGGCTCTGGGGCCTTTTCCAGGAAACAGGGTTGGAGAATCAAACCCAATCACAAATCCCTTGTGGGTGGACAGGAGAAAGCAGCAGGCTTCTGGCATCCAGAGATAAGAAACAGAAGCAACATGGTCCTGTCAAGTTGTTTCTACCATGCTGTGTTAGAATTCCTTTCTGTTTATCTTAAGAAGCAGTCATGAGCTGCTTAGTTTGAGATTTTCGGAAAGCAAATTGTCTTTGTGGCCAAAAAAAAAAAAAAAAAAGATTAACCATCTGGCTAACTCAAAGACATCAATATTGAGAAAGGAGCCTGCACAGTGAGAGGGGGCAGTGTGGTACAGGAGAATGAGTCCTGAACCAGGACTTGGGCAACAGATGCCTATGTGTCCTGGCTAAGTCCCTGAACCTTACGTTTTCCTCATCTGTTATAAGTGTGTCTTGGCTGGGCTGAGTGGGACTCTTGGTGAATAGAATGAGGAGACATTGCTATCTCTGTGTACCTATTTGTAACCATTAATTTACAAAGGGCCTAGGGAAAAAAGACTTCTTTGCTGTCCACAGTGGTGCCAGAGGTTAAAATATCTGTAGCCATGTCTGATGAACTGATGCGTGTGTGTGTGTGTGTGTGTGTGTGTGTGTGTGTCTGTGTCTGTGTCTGAAGTCCTATTTGAGGGAGGGTGATGGAGGTCACTGAGAGAGAACTTCAAAGAAGAGAAAAAGGACTTGGGCAAAGGGAACTTGATTTTAGAATGAGACAAGTGTTGGGATACAATGTGGCAGCAGAATCTTGAACTCATCTAGATCCAGCCATCCTAGGAGAAAAGAGTTTTGTTTGTGAATCTAAAGTGCCATACCAATAAACACATGCTGAGGACCCTTCTTCCCATGGCTGGAAATGAGACAGAAAGAACATTATCCTTCTCATTCTGAAAGGAGGTGTTGATCTTATTATGCAGGGCCAAATCACAACTCCATGGCACCATTGTGGGATGGGGACCATGGCATTGGCTATGATTACAGATTTAAGCCATGAGTACATGTATGCATCCTGGGGATTACAAAGAAAGAACTTGGAGAAGAAGGGTAATGTAAAAGACAAGACTTCTTTCTTGTCAGCAGAAAACAGAAGGCCTTGAGATTATGTAGATTGAAACATTCAGCTTCCATGAGGGAGGATATGGCTGGGGCATAATCTTTGAACTCAATTCTAGCTCTAATCTCCAATATTTTTCAACCTGAGAAAGGATTCAACAAAACATTCACAAATGTAGTAATAGTGATATATATAGTTTGTTGAGTTTGTTACCATGAATCTTCAAGATCGGTGGCAGTAAACCCAAATTAAGGTAAAGAATCTGGAAAGAAGCAAATTTGCCAAGAATACACGGTGAGCAAGTTGTCTGCAAATACATCTGCTTTTAGAGTTTGTACACATTCCATTACACCTCAACATAATGGCAGAAGACATTTTAGAATGGCTTTTTGACCATTTCTGATAGGATGCCCAGAGAAGATGCTGCTGTCATCAGAGAGCTGCCATGTCAGGGCCCTGGGGTTAGAACTGCAGTGATAACGAGGACCAGGACAAGAGACTGCAGCACCTTTACATCCGTGGAGCCTCTGTGGCTGGCTGCCCCATGGCTGGGACATGTAGAAAGTGCCCCAGCAGAGTCATCAAGACTGAGCCCAAAGTGAAATAGTGAGATGGAAGATATTAACAACAACCACAACCACAAAATAGGCTATTTATGCAGCATTGTTACTGGATATTGTCATGCTCAGGACTGAGCTAAAGGCTTTATAAACATATCTTTTAATCCTCTCACCTCCATGAGTTCACTGCTAGGATCCTTATGTTGCAACTGAGGCTCAGGGAGACTATGCAAGTTATTTGATGACAAAGCGCATGAGCGGCGGGCAGAGCCAGGATTTGAGCCCAGGTGAATGGGACTCAAACCAGTGCATGTAGAACCACTAGCCCACATTACCTCTCTAGATTGACACTCTGTTTAGTGCCCTCTTCACCCCATTCTGAATCTACCTCCATCTCCCCTCTTCCTCTGCATGGGGGCCCTTTATTTCTCCCTCCTGAGGTCACTGGGGTCCATTGCTCCCCCCAGCTCTTCTCCCCAGTTATTACCCGAGGAATGGCCCTGCTTCAATCATGTATGCTGTAAGGCTGCAGAGGTAAAAGTTGAGTTATTTCTCATATTGTTTAAAAATGTTTCTGCTGTAATCACTCTTTATATTTACTTGTATCAAAATCCGTACCAGGAAAAAATGGGTGATTTTTCGTTAACCCCAAGAGGATCTGAATTGGTTTTTTGCTGGTTAATTTAATTATAACAAACTCAGTGAAGTGACTGTGTTAAACAGTAAAACGGTTAACCGTGGGTTAAACATTACAAAATCCAATTTCCTATAACAAATAAACAATGATTGGGGATTGCAATTTCCTACAATGGATAAGTAGGTGAATTTTATAGTCTCAAGGTTAAAGGCTGTATAATATTTAACCATTATAGTTAGAGAAAAATCCTACAAGAGACCTCTATGTACAAACTACTGAATTTTATGATGACAAGATACAGAAAAAATGTAAATCTGACAAAAAAAGCATTCTACCCTCTTACCTATCTAATGTTTGTATTCTTAGTGGGTTTAAGTTAACTGACTGGTAAATATTTTTCAGTTCTTTTCTTATCTGTATAACAAGGTGTAATTATTAGCTTAGTGCAGAGTATTCTCAAAGCCTCATGTCAACAGGTCAGTTTCTTAATCTCTCAAGACTGCTCTGTGAAAAACTTGTGACTTCTGGTTATTAACTGTAATTTTAATTAAAAGTTAATTAAAAAATTTAGGGTTTCTACTTTTAATTTCCATAGTATGAATTTAAAAGTCATTTGCATTTGACTTGCCTCTAGTTGACAAATAATATCTTTGACCCTGACAAAGGAATTTTAAGAATTGCTCAAGGAACTCCTTGTTCCACTGTATTTTTTTCTGCAGTAGAACAAGGGGTGATTTTACGGTTTCTGAAATCGTGACATTCAGAGATCCTTTCTGAAGCTGGTCTAGCAGGTTAATGCAATATGGGCATTGTTTTCTCGAAGCTGAGGTTACAGCAAACAGCATTCTCCTATACGTGAACAAAGAACGCTGGTTCATATAAGGGAGGGTGCCACACAGGGGTCACCATAAGGTTGCATAAGCCAGAAAATGAGCCAGAGGGGACTGCTGAGTCCCCGGAGAGCTGCCATACAGGCTTGGATTTCTTAATTTTTTATATATTCTTGTATAGTCTGTTAAAACTACATCTATTGAGTATTCAAAGCACTGTGCCAGCATTATAGCTATTAAGGTAAACAAGATAGACTAGTATTCTCAAGTGACTTACAGCTTCATGGGGAAAACAAATAGATAAATAAGTAATTGTGAAAGGGTGTGATAAGTTTCACAACAGGGAAAGATTAGGGTGTTGGGAGAACAGAGCAGGGGGGACCCAGCCTCATCAAGTGGAGGTCGGGAAGTGACCTTTTCTGAGGTCTGAAGGATGAGTAGGGGAAGCCAGTGGAGGGAGGAGTTGAGGAATGAGGTTCCAGATGGTGAGTTCTTCTTGTGCGAAGTCCTAGGAGCAAGAGATAATGCGATGCATTGGGAATTGAAAGAAATTTACTGTGGGAGAAGAGGAGGTAGTTGTAGGATGTGAGAAGCAAGTGGGAGAGTAGGCTGGAAAGATAGGTAGGGCTCCACTAGACAGGCCGTGGTGAGGTGAGAGTTTAGCTAAAAGGCACTGAGGAACCACTGAAAGGTTTAAAGACGGAACGTGATGTAGTGAGTCATATTTTAGGACTTTAGTTATTTTTAGGAAAATAACTCATTGTGATTAAAAGAATAGATTGGAAGGGGACACAATTAGGGGCACTGAGACCAGTTAGGAAGCTACTGCAGATTTTCAGTTGACAGATTTTGGGGGTCTGGACTAAGGCAGTGTCCTTGGAAATGCAAATAGATTGAAGGGCATTGAGAAGGTAAATAGGCTTGGTGAAAAATTTAATGTGGATATGAGGAAGAAGAAGAATCTAGTGTGGCTGGTGTACGAAAATGCCACAGATTGAGCTATTCAGGAATAGATTTGAGATGGGGAGGATGATGTTCAGTTTTGGAGTTGTTGAATTTTGGTCCATTTTGGGCTTGTTGAATTTAGCAGGATGTGAGTTACTTGGGTCTGGAGCTTGAGAGACTGGCATGAGCTGGTAATATAGATGGTAAATGAAACCTGGGAGAAGGTACAAAGGGAAAAGAGAAGGGAGACTAGGACAGAATACTGAAACATCAGCATTTGAGTGACAGGGAGAAGAGAAATGTCCTATGGCTAGAGAGTAGGACGAAAACCAGGGAAGCCTAGGCCAAGGAAGAGTGTTTCAAAAAGGGAGAGGTTAATGTATCAAATGCTGAGCACAGGTTAAGTAAGGTAAGGACTGAAGAGTGTCTGTTGGAGCTAGTACAAGGTAGACCTTGGAATCTGGTAAAGTTTAAGAGCAGTTGTGGGCCAGAAAGCAAACTGCACTGGAGTGGAAAGAAGAGGAAATGAAGGCAGAGCGTTTAATCACTCTCCTTCAAAAGGAGAGGGGCTATATTCTGAAGAGGACATGAAGCTAAGGAAACATGTTTTTTTCTCCTGATGGGAAAGAGGCAGTAGAGTGAGTAAGTTTGAAGATGCAAGAAACAGATGGCATAATCAATAAAATGAGGTGATGGGGAGTGGGATCCAAAAACTGAGGGGAGGAATTAGGCTTAAGTAGGAGGAGCTTTAATTTGTTGAGTGCAAAGGGGGCAAATATGAGCACAAATGTAGGCATCTTGCAGATGTGGAGGCAGGAATTTGCCACAGCAACCCACATTGGCTAAGAGATTGCAACCACTCCCATTATTCTAGCCCTCTGTCATTTTCTTTTAGCTGGGACAGCTTACGACCAATTAAGATAACATTTTAAAAAGAGCTTTGAAAATGGTAGATGATTAGAAATGTAGTGGAGTGAAATGATTATGTGAAGTGATGTGAAACGGTGGAAAAACTGGCTACGAAATTTACTTGTTGTGTGATTTTGGGAGGGTGCCTTCGCCTCACTCAGATTCCTCAGTTTTCATTTATAAAGTAGCCTCTTCCTACCAGCTCTATAGAGTTATTGTTACCTTCCAGTGCAGTGGCTTTCAGTGTGGGTTGTACGAGTATTGTCCATAAAGGGTGATGTGGGATGGGTAGGGCAAGTTTTAGAAGTGGTAACAATGAGGAAAGGGTGGCATTTGGTGAGCAGAGGGAGATTCAGGAATTCTGGACATCTCACAGTCCACTTGACAATCTCACACATATTCTTCCCATCTCCACACCACATGAGTCCCCCTCCCCCAAATAGTGTTACTTTAAACAATTAAGCTTTTCATTTTCAGTTAATTGTATATTCACATGAAATAATACTGAGCGGTCCATGCACTTTTTACTCTGTTTCCTCCAATAGTAACATCTTGCAAAACTAGAGTATAATATCACAACCAAGATACTGACATTGACACAGTCAAGATACAGTACATTTCCATCACTACAAGGATCCTTTGTGCTGCCTTTTTTTTTTAGTCACACCCACTTCCCTTCCTCCTCTCCTCCCTCCCTCAACACTTGGCAACCATTGATCTGTTCTCCATTACTATAATTTTGTCCTTTCAAGAATGTTATATAAAAGGTTAATGTGAGATTGGCTTTTTTTTTTTTTTTAACTCAGTCCATTTTTTTTTTGAAATTCATCGAAGTTGTTATATTGTATCAATATTATTGCTGAGTAGTATTCCATGGTATGAATATTTCACAGTTGTTTCTCCATTCACCCATTGTAGGACATCTAGGTTGTTTTCAGTTCAGGGTTTTAACAAAGCTGCTATAAACAGTCATATATGGATTCTTGTGTGAACATAGCTCTTCATTTCTCTGGGATAAATGCCTGGTAGTGCAGTTGCTGGGTCACATGGTAGTTGTATGTTTAGTTTTTAGAGAAACTGTTTTCCAGAGTGGCTTGTACTCGTTTTACATTCTCACCAACAATGTATGAGTGATCCAGTTTCTTCATAACCTTGGAGGTTTTTTCATAACCTTGGAGGTTTTTTCATAACCTTGATCTAGTTCCTTCTTAACATTGCCAGCATTTGGTGTTATCACTATTTTTTTTTTTTTTTTGAGATAGAGTCTCACTCTGTCACCCAGGCTGGAGTATAGTCACATGATCTTTGCTCACTGCAACCTCCACTTCCTGTATTCAAGTGATTCTCATGCCTCAGCCTCCTGAGTAGCTGGGACTACAGGCATGCACCACCACATCCAACTAATTTTTGCATCTTTAGTAGAGATGCGGTTTCATTATGTTGCCCAGGCTGGTCTCGAATGCCTGACCTCGAATGCCTGACCTCAAGTGATCCACCTGCCTTGGCTTCCCAAAGAGCTGGGATTACAGGTGTGAGCCACTGCACCCAGATAGGTGTTGTCACTATTTTTTATTTTAGGCATTCTGATATGTATATAGAAATATTTCATTGTGGTGTTAATTTTTCATTTCCTTAATGGCTACTGATGTGAAAATATTTTTATTTGCTTATTTGTCATCTGTATATCCTTTTTGATGAAATGTCTATGTAATTTTCTCATTTGCTTATCTGATTATTTTTTAACTGTCACATTTTGAGAGCTCTTTTCATATTCTAGATAATAGTCATTTGTTGAATACATGGTTTGCAAATATTTTCTCTCATTATGTAGCTTGTCTTTTCATCCCCTCAGCAACAGTCTTTCACAGAGCAAACTTTTAAATTTTGATGAAGTCCAATTTATCATTTTTTCCTTTTATGGATCATGCTTTTGGTGACAAGTCTAAACATTCTTTGCCTATCCCTGGATCCTGAAGATTTTCTCCCAAGTTTTTTTTTTCTAAAAGTTTTATAGTTTTATGGTTTATATTTAAGGGTCTTTGTTAGATTTTGAGTCAGTATAAGATGTGAGACTTAGGTCAAGGATCTTTTTTTGGCCTATAGATGTCCAATTCTTCCAGAACCATTTGCTGAAAAGGCAGTCTTTTCTTTATTGAATTGCTTTTGTTCCTTTGTCAAAAATGAATTGGGTATATTTGTGTGGTTCTATTTTTGCAGTCTTTATTCTGTCCCATTGATCTATGTGTCTCTCCTTCCACCAGTACCACAGAGTCTTGATTATGGTAGCAATATTATAAGTCTTGAAAATAAGTAGACACATTCCTGTTACTTTATTTTTATTTTAGCTATTCTAGTTCTTTTGTCTTTCCATGTATTCATTTTAGAATAATCTTTTTTTTTTTTTTTTTTTTTTTTTTTGAGACAGAGTCTTGCTCTGTCGCCCAGGCTGGGGTGCAGTGGCCAGATCTCAGCTCACTGCAAGCTCCGCCTCCTGGGTTTAGACCATTCTCCTGCCTCAGCCTCCCGAGTAGCTGGGACTACAGGCGCCCGCCACCTCGCCCGGCTAGTTTTTTGTATTTTTTTTAGTAGAGACGGGGTGTCACCGTGTTAGCCAGGATGGTCTCGATCTCCTGACCTCGTGATCCGCCCGTCTCGGCCTCCCAAAGTGCTGGGATTACAGGCTTGAGCCACCGCGCCCGGCCCATTTTAGAATAATCTTGTCCATATCTATAAAATAATCTTGCTGGATTTTTGATAGTAGTTATGTCAAATCTGTATATCAGTTTGGGGAGAATTGACATCTTTACTATGTTGGATCTTTCAGTCCATGAACATGATATGTTTCCTCATTTATTTAAATAATTGATTTCTTTAATTGGCATTGTATAGTTTTTGACATAAAAGTTATAGTACATGTTTTAAATCTAAGTTTTCAATTTTTTGAGTGATTTTAAGTTATATTGCATTTTTAAATTATTGGTATTCATGCATTCATTGCTACTATATGGAAATATAGTTGCTTTTTATATGTTTGTCTTATATCCTACAACATTTCTGAACTCACGTTAATTCTAGGAGTTGTTTTTTTGCAGATTCTTTGGGGTTTTCTGTAAAGACAGTTATGTCTACTGCAAGTAGGAACAGTCAGTCTTATTTTTTTCTTTCTGATATCTATTTCTTTTATTTTCATATGCTGCCATATTGCGTTGGCTAGAGCTTTCAGCACTATGTTGAATAAGAGTGTGAAGGTGGATATTTTTTGCCTCATTCCTCATCTTAGAGAGAAGACATTCAGTCTTTTACTAAAGTATAATATTACTGTAGGTGTTTTGTTCCTTGTCAAGTTGAGGATGTTCTCTCTTATTCCTATTTTTTGAGTTTTTTTTTTTTAAATCATAAATGGGTATTGAATTCTCTCCAGTATTTTTCTGTACTGATTGATATGATCCTGTGATTTTTCTTCTTTAGCCAGTTAATATAGTGGATTACAGTCTTTGATTTTAAAACAGCGAACCAACCTTGCATCCCTAGAATAAGCCCCACTTCATCATGGTGTGTACTTTTATTATATTCTACTTGCTAACATTAAGAATTATTGCTTTTATATTCATGAGGGTTATTGGCCTTTAGTTATCTTTTTTGTACAGTCTTTGTCTGGTTTTGTGTTTTGAGTAATAGTGTCTTCATGAAATGAGTTGGAAACTGTTCTTTTTTCTTCTGTTTTCTGGAAGAGAATGTGTAAATTGGTTTCATTTCTTTTTAAAATAAATGTTTGGGAGAATTCTCCAGTGAAGCCATCAGGGCCTGGAGATTTCATTTCTGCTCTTTATTATTTCCTTCTTTCTGCTTGCTTTGGGGTTGTTTTGCTGTTTTTTTTTTTTTTTTTTGTAGATTATTGAAGTGAAAGCTTATAGTATTCATCTGTTACTTTTCCTTTCTAATGTATGCATTTAGTGCTGTGCATTTCTGTCTCAGTACTGCCTTGAATGCATTCCACAAATTTTGATATGCTGCATTTTTATTTCATTCAGTTGAATGTATTAAAAATTTCCCTTGAAGAATTCCTCTTTGCCCTGTGATTATTTAAAAGAATGTTATTTAGTTTCCAAGTGCATGGAGATTTTCCTGCTATCTTTCTGTTATTGATTTCCAGTTTGATTCCATTTTGGTTGGAGAACACAGTCTACGTGATTTTAACTCTTTTAAATTCTTTTAAATTTGTTCTATGACCCAGGACAACCTGGTAATCCTGTCATATATTCCATGGGCACTTGAAAATAATGCATATTTTGCTATTGTTGGCTAGAGTGTTCTATAAACACTGACTAGATTCTGTTGGTTGATAGATAGGAGTTTTTATATCCTTGCTGATTTTCTGTCTAGTTGTTCTGTCAGTTGTTGACAGAGGGGTGTTGAAATCTCTAGCTATAATTGTGGATTTGTCTATTTCTCCTTTCAGTTCTATCAATTTTTGCTTTGCATATTTTGCAACTTTATTGTTTGGTATGGACACATTTAAGATTACTACATTTTATTGGTGGATTGATTCTTTTATCACTGTATGATGTTCCTCTGGTTTCTGGTAATTTTATTTGTTCTGAAATTTACTTTATCTGATATCAATATGGCCACTTCTACTTTCTTTTGATTGTGTGATCTATATTTTTCCATTGTTCTATTTTTATTTTATTCTTTTTCACTGTTCAAGGTTTATTGGGGGTTTTAGTTGGTATGACACTTGGATAGTTGGTTGCACTGTTTATATGTAGGTCTTTTTACATTATATGGTAATGTACACTACTGATATACATAGTTCACAAAATAAGATCCTTTGTAACAATTATGTACAAGACATGCAATATTGGATTTATACACTGGATCCCAGGATGTGACTGATTGGGAAAAAATGTTGGACTAGGTATTGTTCAGTGAGGGAGCCAGGAAGTTACATAACACATGGTAAACCTCCATCTGGCTCAAGGGGCAACTGCAGCATGTGCAGCATTGGCAGTGGTGCCTCAGAGGTAGTAGAACTATTTCAGACTAACCAGTTTAGGACTACGCAGGATTAGTGACATCCAGCATTAGGATATAGCTGTAGGATTTTACAAACCATTTCTATTTCTAACTTTAGGAATTGATGTTTTTCCCAGTCCATCTTAATATTACTGTTGTAATCACAGACCAGAAAAAACGACAACATGCACAACCTCCAACTAAAATCCTGTTGTAGCCTAAACAGTGAAATGGATGATATCAGAAGACTTTAAAATTGCAGCTCTGGCTGGGAGCGGTGGCTCACGCCTGTAATCCCAGCACTTTGGAAGGCTGAGGTGGGTGAATCATCTGAGGTCAGGAGTTCAAGACCAGCCTGGTCAACATGGTGAAACCCCTTCTCTACTAAAAATACAAAAAATTAGCTGAGTGTGGTGGTGGGTACCTGTAATCCCAGCTACTCGGGAGGCTGAGGCAGGAGAATTGCTTGAACCTGGGAGGTAGAGGTTGCAGTGAGCCAAGATTGTGCCATTGCACTCCAGCCTGGGCAACAAGAGTGAAACTCCATCTCAAAAAAAAAATAATAAAAAAATTTAAAAAAATACTGCAACTCTTTTTGGATCCCCCAAAGTGTATCTGTACTCTTTTTCAAACGGGCCTCTTCCTTAGGAGTCAGAGTCACCTTCACAAGGTCTGAGATTGCATTCTGTACCAAGATGCAAGCAACACTAAGGAAGACATCATCCTTTATTCCATAGAAACCCTTAATCATGGTGGAAATTGGGTGTACCCGCCTGAGATTCTTCATTATACTCTCTGCCAAATCTGCCAGAGAGAGTCCAGTGGCCCAGGATGTGTAGCCTTTCAGTTTGATCACCTTGTAAGGACTCTGAACCACCTGCTTGTGAACCTCTTTCCACTGTTCCTTATCTGTATCAGTCCCTCAATGTGCGTGCAGAGTCTTCAGGGAGACACCAGCAACATTCACTCCATTCCATAAAGGCACACTGGAATCTCCATGTTCCCCAAGGACCCGCCCATGACAGCTTAATGGGTGAACTCCCAGCTTTCCCCCATCAGGTAACGGAATTGGGCTGAATCCAGATTGCAACCACTTCCAATAACACGGTTTTTGGGAAAGCCACTTATCTTCCAAGCCACATAGGTCAAGATACCCACTGGATTTGAAACAATAAGCAACTTGCAGTTCGGGCTGTATTTTACAACATTAGGAATGATGAATTTAAAGATGTTCATGTTATGCTGGTCCAAATTAAGATGGCTTTCTCCCTCTTGCTGACGTGCCCCAGATGTGATAATGACCAGCTTGGAGTTTGCAGTTACATTATGGTCTTTGCCAGAGATAATCTTTGGCGTTCTAAGGAAAAGGCTGCCATGTTGGAGATCCGTCATATCTCCCTTCAATTTGTCTTCCATGACATCAACAAGAGCAAGTTCATCTGCCAAGTCCTTCATTAAGATACTGATGGCACAGACCATGCCAACAGCACTAACCCCAACAAATGTAATCTTAATGGGGGGGGGGCTGTTGTTGTTTTAGAAGATTATGAATCAGCTGATCCTTGAGAGTTGCAACACTGGACTTGGAACCAAAAGGAATTGGGAATGCATGTCAGGCAAGCACTGGGGGCACACGGCAATGAGATCCGGACTTGGTGGCAACAGCTCCAGCACCTCCATCCTTTTATTATTAACCATTTATTTTAAACCATATTATTTGCATTTAATATGATTATTGATACATTAAAGTTTAAGTCTGCCATTATATATTTTGCTGTATTTTCTCTCTAACTTTTATTTCTCAATTTTCTTTTCCCTTTTTCCTGTTCAAAATGCAGGCTGCTTGAACATTTTGTAAAATTTCACTTTGATTTTCCAATAGTGTTTTGAGTCTATTAGTCTATAATGTTTTGAGTCTTAGTAGTTGCTTTAGGTATTACCTCATACCCACTCACACCAACACACACATACATCTTATCACACACACAAATGTCTGTTAGTGTCATCATTTTACAAGTTTCACATGAAGTGTAGGAGGCTTACCTCTTTTTATGTCCCTTTCCCTTCCCTATTTATAACAAAATTATCTTAAATATTTTCTCTACATACATTCAAGACCATATTAAACATTATTACAATTTTTGCTCCAACTGTCAACATAATTCAGAAGGCTCAAGAGGATAAGGAAGATCTATTGTATCTACCTATATTTTTGCTTACTGTGTTCTTTTCCTTTTTCTTCTTTCTTTGTTCCTTTTCCTTTTCTTCCTCTCCCTCTCCCTCTTTCTTCCTTTTTCTTTTCTTTTCCTTTTTTCTTTCTTTTCTATCTCTCTCTCTCTCTCTCCTTCTCTCCCTCCTTCTCTCCCTCTTGCTCTCTCTCTTTCTCTCTCTCCTTCCCTTCTTCCTTCCTCCCTCCCTCCCTCTCTCTCTTTCTCTCATTCTCTCTTTCTTTCAACAGAGTCTTGCTTTGTCACCAGACTGGAGTGCAGTGGCGTGATATCCCCTCACTGCAACCTCCACCTCCCAGGTTCAAGTGATTCCCCTGCCTCGGCCTCCCGAGTAGCTTTCAATTTTTCTAATATTTTAAGAAACTTCTTTAACCACTTCCTTTCTATTTATAAATCTTCATTTATTCATTCTTTTAGCGTAGGTCTGCTGGTCACAAATTATCTTTATTTTCCTTCCTTTGAGAATTTTTTGATCTTTCTTCACTTCTAAATGATATTTTTGCTGCATAAAGCATTCTGGGTTGACGGTTATTTTCTTCCAGCACTGGAAAAATGTCGTGCCACTTTCTTGTGGTTTCCATGGTTTCTGATGAGAAATCTACTGTGATTTTAATTTTTTTCTTCTATAGGTAAGTTGTCATTTGTCTCTGCTTTTAGTATCTTAGCAGACATTCTTGTAGTGAAAAAACTGTATTGAACAGAACCTAGACTCCAATTCTGCTTTACATCTGTCACAAATTATTTTTAGTAATTTTCTAAAAATGCTGTATAAAACAAGGGAAAGATTGTACTTTGTTTTGCTCTAAATTTTACTAAAAGTTGGTCACCATTTCAGAAAACAACATTACACAATATTGTAGTTGTTTACTTCACACACTTGTATCTGACTACATTTACAAGTGTTGTATTCACAGAAATTCCACATATAAGTATAAGCATCTGACTACATCATGTTTTCAGGTGTGACCATGCCAAGTACTTAAATATGAAAAATGTATTATTTTATTAGCAATTAATTTCCTTTTATTTTCTATAAAAGGAAAATAAAAGGGCACTATATTGAAATTTTGCAATTACTTGTGTAGATTGTATTTTACATCAATTTCATTTCAGGATAGAAAAGGAGGGTGATTCAAAATAGCTATACAAACAGATCATCAGATCTGAAAGGGTTGAGACCACTAATATAATGCAATTAGTTAATATGCTAATCAAATTTAACACACTAAATACAGTGATAGATAATACTATTAAAGATTCAATTATCTAAGTGAACCACTAGATGTCCATTGGACTCCTTTTCAGTGTGAGAGAAACCATGGCATTTCTCGATTATCAAAAAGAGCAGAGAACAGAGATAATAGATTTTAGCTTATCTTAGAATCTTTAAAGAAAGGCAGACAGGAGCACTACACAGGTGGTGAATGTCATGCATTTTGAAAGGTTCAAATGGTACTAACAGAAGATATAGTACGTATTTTTTTTTAAAACCATTTGTGTGATGATGGAAATTCACCTATTTTTCTGAGCCTCATTTCTTCATTGTGTACAACAAGGAGGTTGTAGGGCTAAAGAGGATCACTTAAGGGCCTTCCCGTCTCAGTAGACAGCAGTTGGCAGTCTTCATTCCTAAGCTCATTTGAAAGGATTGGGACAGTGGAAATTTGGTTTCATTTTTCATGAATTGTGAGAGGACTGAGGGCAAATGATACTTTCTTCAGAGTGAGATGACAAGATCGGGTGAGAGTGAAGCAGAGAAGAGACAAAGATGTACTGAGAAAGGACGTCTTTCTGTAATAGGTTTTTTTTTTTTGGGTTGTTCTTGTTTTTGTGTGTGTATGTATATGTATATGTGGGTTTTTTTTTTTTTTCAAGCAACACTTACTTATTCTGTAGATTCTACCTATGGAATATCTTTCAAATCTATTCCCACGGCCACTTTCCTATTTCAGGACCTCCTCATCTCTCATATCATCCTAATTAATTTTTTTGTCTATATCTCTCTCCTATGCACACTGACACCAAAATTATCTAAAATAAAGATCTGATCATATTATCATGCTTAAAAACAAGAGATGACCCCCTCAGCATGAAACCACACCCTTCCCCATCTGATTCTCGCCTGTCCCCCCAGCCATTGCCCACTTTGCCCATACTCCCTCTGCTCTGGCCATGCTTGTCACCAGACATGCCATGCATTTCATTCTCTGGACCTCTACCTGGAACTTCCCTTCCCTCTTCAACTGGCAAACTCCTCGCTTCTCCTCAAGGCTTAGCTCCAATGTCACCTTTTTTTTTTTTTTTTTTTTTTTTTGTGAAGCCTATCCTTTGTTCACTAGGTAGAATTAAATAATTTCTCTCCACAGCCGTTTGCACATAGTCTGTGCAGGTACTTGCCACGCTGTGTTATAAGGTCCATGTCAAAAGGATTGGCATCCCTCATTAGACTCAACCTCTAAAGGGCAGGTATTGAGTTGTATTCATTATTTAATCCTTGGTGCTTGGCACACAGTAAGTACACAGTAAATGTTTGTTGAATGAATGAGTGAATGCATAAAGGGCTCTAACATGGTATTTTGAGTACTATATACATACAGTCCCAAACCTGACTGCACATCAGAATTACCTGGGAAGTCTGTTAAAATCTGGATTCCTAGCTCTTACCTACCATTATTTTGTAGTTTGATAAGCTCTAAGTGATTCTTATGCAGACATCCTGGTGCTTGTTCTTACATGGCCTTTGGAACCATAACCGAATCCATTATAGATGGGGTTCTAAAACTTTCCAACCAGGAATTTCACAGCTCATCCCAGGATGATATCCTCCATCTTATATTCTGAACTTTTTCCAGGAGTCATTCAGGCCATCTTGATATGCGGAAAATTTCAGAATTATTTTGGGGGCTTTAAAAAATGTACAATATACATGTCTGGGCCTCTCCTTGTGGAGTTGCTGACATGCCTTAGGGAGGAAAAAGAGAAGATTCGGGTATGGTCATTTATATTTTGAAACTCTGTAGGTGACTTTGGTAGGTCATACCTCGGTGACTCTGCACTTACAGGAAAACCTGTGTTACCTACATTTAATGCAGTGGAGGCCAGAGACTTTGGTTCATGTTTAATTTTGGTTCTGTTATCTCAGAGCCAAGACCAATAAGAAATTCAGCTACCTCTATTTTCTGGTTAACCACCCACTAAATGAGCTGGAAGGCACAACTGCTCCCGTGGAAAGTGGCTATAAAAGGAAGCTGCCTCTGGCTATCTTAATCACACAGATATTAGAGCAGGCTGAGTAAGAGAAGATGTTAGGGGGAGTGTGAGAATGTGTCACCATGGGAGGTTACTCCAAAAGAGTAACCCTGTTAGGTTTGATGGGCTTTTATGCCCCTCTGGATTGTCAGGGGGTCTGCGTGGCTGGACAAATCATTTAAAACCCCTCCAATGAGCTGCTGTTTTACCTCTTTCACCTTGGACAGCCAGGCTGTTGGGTATTTATTACGGCAGTGCATCAAGCTGGTGGCAGCTTAGATTTCCACTGACAGCACAAGCTAGCAAGGCAGTTTGGTCCTGTCATCTTAAATTCTTAGTCTGCTCACTCGTAAAATGGGGACAATAACAGTTTACAAAGAACGTTTGAGGGAGATGCTATTGTTTTGATTTCCAGGTGACCTGTGTATTACGTTGTTTTCTGCTGCTTGCTTCTGAGTTACAATTTATGTTTTAATTTTAATTTTAATTTTTTTTGAAACAGAGTCTTGCTTTGTCACCTAGGCTAGAGTGCAGTGGCGCAATCTCGGCTCACTGCAACCACCACCTCCTGGGTTCAAGTGATTATCCTGCCTCAGCCTTCTGAGTAGCTGGGATTACAGGCACGCACCACCACACCCAGCTAATTTTTTTGTATTTAGTAGAGACGGGGTTTCACCATGTTGGCCGGGCTGGTCTTGAACTCCTGACCTCAGGTGATCCACCCACCTTGGCCTCCCGAAGTGCTGGGATTACAGGCATGAGCCACTGCGCCCAGCCTATTTTAATATTTTATTATGGAAAAGTTCAAACACATAAAAGAAAACAATATAATGAGCTCCATGTACCTTTCATGTAGCTTCAATTATCAACATTTTGCTACTCTTGTTCCATTTACTTCCAAACATTTTTTTCAGAAGTATTTACTTTTTTGTAATTTAAATTTTAGTTTTCAACATGACACAAAATCTACATGTGGTTTGAAAACAAAATAGCTTCTAAGTTTATAATTGCAAAACACTGTATATGTTTATTTTCGAC